GGTCTGACCAGTGCCCGATAGAGGGGAAGTATCACCTCCTTGGATCTGTTCGTCATGCATCTGCTGATGCACGATAAAGTGCCATTAGCTTTTGTGATGGCTTCATCACACTGACAACTCATGTTCATCTTGGAGTCCACTAGGACTCCAAGATCCCTTTCCGCTTCCATGCCACCCAGCAGGTCATTCCCTAGGCAGTAGGTATGCTGGACATTTTTCCTCCCTAGGTGCAGCACTTTGCATTTCTCCTTGTTGAATTGCATTCTGTTGTTTTCTGCCCACTTGTCCAACCTGTCCAGGTCTGTTTGTAGTTGTTCCCTGCCCTCCGGTGTGTCCACTTCTCCCCACAGTTTTGTGTCATCCACAAACTTGGACAGAGTACACTTCACTCCCTCGTCCAAGTCACTGATGAAGATATTGAAGAGTATCAGTCCAAGGACCGAGCCCTGCGGGACCCCACTGCCCACACCGTTCCAGGTCGATACCGACCCATCCGCTACGACTCTCTGGGTACGACCCTCTAGCCAATTTGCCACCCACCGGACTGTGTAGTCATCCAAGTCACAGCCTCTTAACTTGTTTACCAGTATGGTGTGGGATACCATATTGAAGGCCTTCCTGAAGTCTAAGTATACGACATCAACCCCTACTCCTGCGTCCAGGCGTTTTGTAACCTGGTCATAAAAAGAGACTAGATTGGTCAGGCATGATCTACCTGCTACGAACCCGTGCTGGTTTCCCCTCAGCATAATTTGTCCTGCCGGGCTCTCGCAAATGTGAGCTTTGATAATTTTTTCGAAGACTTTGCCTAGGATGGAGGTTCATACTGATGTAAAGGGCAGTGCAAGGCACAGGGCAGTAGAGAATTGGGCCCTCTGGTATTTAGGAACAGAGGATTTTAAGAGGTCTTCTGGGCCATTGAGTCAAGTCTCCTGCATTTGCAGGCAATCATTTATCCCAGGAATCCCCCAAATCACCACTTCGAACCTTTACACATAACGGCAAGGCAAAATACCCAAAAGGTTATAAATGCACAGGCCGAGTTCAAGCAAATATACTAATAATTATAGCTGGCCAGGAGTTTTCTAACAAAGCAATATTTTGTTGATGCCAGTTTATGGAAACATTAGTTTCAGTGAGCTTTGAGCTTTTCATGCAACTTCACCCAGTCTACTGCCATCCTGCACAGGGAGCTGTTTGGGAACCTGGGCTTCCAGTTTCTATGGCTCTGAGGCAACCAAATTCTTCCATAGACTCAGGACACCAACAACCTTCATGCTCCAGATTTGAGTCCCCTGAGACACCTGCACTGAGTTGTGCTCTCACACGTTTCAGGAGCCCTGGTAAACCGCCCAACAACCTATGTGTGCATGCATGTGTGTGGGCGTACACTTAAATAAATATAACAAGCAAGCAAGCAAGCACAATTTGATTATTATAGAACTTTTTTGGAATTTCTCTTCCATTGAAAATTTGGAATAAAAACTCGAATTTCCCAAAATGGTAGTTTTATTTTTTTAAATGTCAGAATTCCCTGTGGAATGGAATGTCCCCATTTCAAGCCACTCCAGTGATGCGATACCTTGTGACAACTGCAACGTCAGACGACATCAGAAAGAACTGGTATTTCACAGCAGGCTGTATTAAAAACTTAATCCAGGTACCTTGGGGTTTTTAAAGTACTGCAAATCTTACACTTGGGCTTGGCAAACCTAAGATGTTCAAGGATCCAACTTCCAGGTGCTATTAAAGAAACTTTTATGCAGGGGGAGATTGGAAAGAAAATAAAGGCAACTTCCTCACTTTCTGCTTCAACAGCAGACATACTTTGAAAGTCGTTTTTGCTCCTCACCACTCAGTCCTTTATGCTTGTCATCAAGGTTGCAACTTCATGATCCATAGGTTGTCACCAGTTCAGCATTTTGAGCACAAGCTACCAAAAAGAACTGATAAAATGTAACAGAATGCATTCAGAGTTCAGCAAAATGGACAGGGGAATTATCTCCCATACAACTGCACCTTCCAAATGTGCTATGGCCAAGTTGATTGGTTATTGCTATTTAGATGTCCACCCCTCCCCACCCCCAACTAAGAAGGCTCTGGGTAGCTTAAAGGAAACTACCTATAACCACAAGATAGAAAACAACAGTAGATCCACCAAGTAACCCAAAACGTTAAAACTCCACCCCAACTGACCAACTTCCACTTGCCTGCCTGTTACCCATGAGAGCAAAACCTCCTCCAGTCCATCCCAAACATGCTTCCCAATCCCCATTCTTTAGAGTCTCAGAATTGAGAGATTGTCAGTACATGGTCTGCAACAGTTTTCCAAGAGGGCCGTAATGGTAAAAGGAAGAATGCATCAATGAGTTAGGCACTAGATCAGGACTTGCGACAGTCTCCAAGGAGGCTGCTGAAACACTGCACCACCCCACCAGCTGAACCACTGCACCACCCCACCAGCAACCCCCTCCCACCCCCCACAGGTGCCAAGGCTGTCAACAAGGGAGGGAGGGAGAGTGGGAGGGAGTAGCAGGCAGCTGCTGGTTGCTTTTCCTGGCCAGAGCCGGAAGGCGTGGGGTGCTAGAATGGAGCGCCTTTGCATCGCAGGCTCCCCCAGCTAGGGTATTGGAGGGAGCTGGCCCATGAGGCAAAGGGGGGCTCCCTTCCCTAACCCCTGCCCATGAGGCGAGGGCACTCTGTTCCAACCCTTCCCCCCGTCCCCCGAGCTCCAGCCAGGCAAAGCAGCCAGCAGCTGCCTTCTGTTCCTTTCCCCTTCCCCGCTGACAGCCCCGTAAAGCATGAAAAAATAATCCTGGAGGGAACACAAGTTCCCTAAGGCAGTCTGCTTTAGAGCACCTTCATCTAATACCCAATTTGACCAGGGTTAATTTTTTGCATAATTAGCCATTTTGAAAGCACTCTGCAGACATGCACATGTGTTATGTCGCAGCTGTAAAGTGCTTTCAGGGGCCCAATCACACTTAAATTGTAACTTGTGTAAACACCCTAAGTGGACATGCATTCTGCAACCAAAGGAAGATCCCATCTCCATTGTTGGAGGTCAATGGGGATACTAGTTAGAGCCCCACTCAGCTGCTGTTGGGGGTTAGATTAGACCCAGCAATAGGTCTGGGGA